GTCTGTGGGGAGCGAAAGCTGCGGGGTGGCAATGGTGTTTCTAGGTCCTAAAGAGTAGGATGGCAGGGAAAGCCACTTTATTGGGGAGCGCAACCTTCCGGGGGTAGGGGGTTGATTTCAGGGCGTCATTACCTGGGTTTGGGAGGTGAGAACTGGCGTTGGGTCGTGCAGAGCGAGTCGAGACTGGTGGAGCCTGCAGATCCAAAGCGTCTGTCTGCAGATTCATTCTGGCTTCTCGTCTCGCGTTCCACCAGATCAGGGGGCAGACGTGGCCCAGCCTGGGAAACCCCTCGCCCTGATCTCCACTCTTGTCTTCCAGGTGCAGACATGGCCAAGTCCAAGAACCACACAACACACAACCAGTGTAAGTTTTTCGAGCCCTGCCCACATCCCAGACCCTGGTAAGGACTGGTTCAGGCAAACTGGCATGGATGAAGGGGCACGTTTCTATTGTGGGCCTTAGGCTGATTAATTTCACCCAGTAATACCTTTAGGGTTATAGGTTTAGAGATCCACTTGACATACACAATGTTTTGCATTCAGTGGTAAGGGTTTCCCAGACCTCAGGCGTAGCTGCTGTAGGAAGCCTTGGTTCTCCCAGCCTTGCCAGCTGTGATGTTGGGTGGTTTTATTAGAGGAAAGTTCTTTGTGGCTTAATTTCCTTTCCCTCCTACAGCCCGAAAATGGCACAGAAATGGTATCAAGAAACCCCGATCACAAAGATACGAATCTCTTAAGGGGGTGAGTATGGACTGAATCACATGGACGTGTCTTTTCTTGATTCCAGGTGCCCAGTCAAGACCTTTCATGTAGTTTTTCTTTAGCTCAGCTTCTGCCTGAGCAGAGCCTAACTGGCCCATCCAAAGCCTGCAATTCCTTTTTCTACCCTACTGGCCCCATAATAAAGCTTTCCTTGGTCTTCCCCAGCCTGAAGTGTATCCTCTGGTCAGGGTGTAACCTGTCTCCTGAAGGCAGTTTGTTTGGCCATCTCCCTCACTCAGCAGTGGCACTTAGGGTAAGGTACAGAGTGGCCTTGTCTCAGTGTGTGCAGGACACCTTGCAATCTTTCCCTTCCCATACTGACTAGCCTTATGACCTTGATCTGACTCAGTGCTGGTCTTGGGGTCAGCTTCTCTTCCTGTGTCAGGGGGTTCTGAGGATTCGCTGAGAAGGATGGAGGGCCTAGGGGAGAGCTGAGCCTGTCCCCAGTCTGTTCCCTTTACTTTTGCTCTCCATTCTGTGGAGTGAATTACAAACTCTGAGCCTCAGTTTCCCCATATTCTGCCTCGGCTATGAGTCTGTTGGACCAGACTTGGTATTTACTTGACACCTTCTATAGAAGGGAGGGGTGTCCCTGAGGGGATGTCAGAGAAAAAAAGCTTGGTTGAACCCCTGCTGTAGGAAGTTGAAGTCCTGAAACGTTGGCAGAAAGGGCAGCAAAGCAGCTTTTTTTTTGTTCTGAGGTCTGCACAGCATTAGCCAGGTGGAGTATTGGCTCCTTGAGGTGGTGGTCCACCTTCTCTGGAAATAGTTTCAAGAGGTTGGGTATTGCCACATTTGAGGTTGACTTGATGCTGGGTACCCCTGTGGAGAGGGGCACCAGGGAAAGATTTGCAGACCCCCATGCTGCCACCTGTACCTTTCCTGCTTTTCAGGTGGACCCCAAGTTCCTGAGGAACATGCGCTTTGCCAAGAAGCACAACAAGAAGGGCCTAAAGAAGATGCAGGCCAACAATGCCAAGGCCATGAGTGCACGTGCCGAGGCCATCAAGGCTCTTGTAAAGCCCAAGGAGGTTAAGCCCAAGATCCCAAAGGGGGGTGTCAGCCGCAAGCTTGATCGACTTGCTTACATTGCCCACCCCAAGCTTGGGAAGCGTGCTCGTGCACGCATTGCCAAGGGGCTCAGGCTCTGTCGGCCAAAAGTCAAGGCCAAGTCCAAGGATCAAAACAAGGCCCAGGCTGCAGCTCCAGCTTCAGTTCCAGCTCAGGCTCCCAAAGGTGCCCAGGCCCCTACAAAGGCTTCAGAGTAGATATCTCTGGCTGCCAACGTGAGGACAGAAGGACTGGTGCGACCCCCCGGGGCTGCCATCTGCATGGGGCTGGGGTCCTCCTGTGCTATTTGTACAAATAAACATGAGGGAGGATTTGTTAGCCTCTGTCTATGATCCTGGGGCTGGGGTTGGTTGTTCCATCTGTTGGTGTGGGAGAAGACATTGGCTTTCTGTGGAGGGGGTGTGGGTGGGAGTCAGGAGATGGGGCTCTGAAGTGAAAGAGCGGACCTAATGAATGAGAAATGGTTGGGGGCTTGTGGGAAGTTTGGGCACATAGCTTGTTGAACTGGGTAAGCTGTCGAGCAAAGGGAGAAATCTTAAACATCCTCATGAGGTCTTGAAGCATACACCAAGGGAGGAGAACAGGCTTCACTGAGCAGCTCTGCACTCTGGTCCGAGGTGTCCCAGACTAAGCTCTTGGTGCACCCAGTCAGCATCCACTTCTCTGGGTTGTGTTAGTCCCCCAACAGCTAGGGACCCTGGAAGGCAGGCGTTGGTGGCAATTCCTTACTCCCATGACTGTTTCTGATCCTGTTGTGCCCCTGGGCCAGCTGCTTCACATGTAAATCTTTATCCTCAGCAGACTGAAGAGAGTAGTAAAGTAGTAGTGAGCATTTGTGGAGGCTTCCCGTAGAAGGCACCAGGTGGAGCACTGTTCCTGGCCGTACTTAATCCTCAAGGCCAGCCTTGGTCCAACCTTGGACACTTGTGGAAACTCAGAAAGGGGTGCTGTCGTGCTAGAGCAGCAGGTGCAGCCCATGGCATGTGATCCTCTACTTCTGAAGTAGATACGGTGTTTGTCTTTGTTTCACGGGGTGGGGGATGTGGGAGCAGAATACTGAAGATCATGCAGCTAGGAAGGGGTGGGGGTAGCATTTCTTCCTAGCCAGTCCATGTGGGGCCCTAGGAAGTTTGAGTTGTCCAACCAGGGCTGAGGCTCGCTAGCTCTTCACTGTAATCCTGGCAGTCTCTGGGTGGCCAACTGCCCCTTGCCAAGGCGTGTCAGGTGGAGGTGGGGATCGAAAGGGAGCAGAAGCGGGTTTTGTGTTCTGAAGGTGGTTTGGCCCGGACAGGCCACCAGGTTGGTTGACTTCCAAATGAAGTCTCTGTGCTGGTGTCGTGGACATGGGATGTGAAGGCTTTCCTTTCCCCACCATCCTGCCATGAAAAACTAGTGATCCCTTTACAGAGTTCCAGTCTGAGGGGGCGGCCAGGTCAGGGCTTCAGCTAGACTTAAGGTCACAGTCAGCTGCTGCTCTCAGCCTCCAGCTTGTACATGGAACTTGCCTTGTGCTCAGGAAGCTCAAACCCCCAGTTCTTGAGTCTCAACTCCTTCACCTCCAAGCTCAAGCTCTAGACTAGGGCAAACTATATTAGTAGAACCTGCTTTTTTTTTTGAGACAGTCTTTGTCAACTAGGCCGGAGTACAGTGGCGCAATCTCAGCTCACTGCAACCTCCACTCCCTGGGTTCAAGTGATTCTTCTGAATTAGCCTCCAGAGTAGCTGGGACTATAGGCACGTGCACATGCCACCATGCCCAGCTAATTTTTTTTTTTTTTTTTTTGGGTGTTTTCAGTAGAGACATGGCTTTGCCATGTTGCCCAGGTTGGTCTTGAACTCCTGAGCTCAGGCAATCCGCTCTCCTCAGCCGCCCAGTGTTAGGATTATAGGTGTGAGCCACCGTGCCTGGCCAGTGGACCCGGTTTCTACACCGCTAGTAGGACCTGGCATCCATCACAAGATGGCTGTGAGAGTTCAATGAAAAGTAAGGCAGTCTTAAGTCCTGGCTCCTGGTCAACTGGGAGCAGGAGTGATTGTTACTTCTATTAGTACTAAGCCTGCAGCCCAGAGGCAGGCTCTGGACTTCTGGCTACAGCTAGAAATTTTAAAAATCCAACCACCCTGCCCCATCCCTAACTCCCCTACTCCATGCTCAGGGAAGTCCTAACAGGATAGAGCAGATCGGCTAGAACAGGCTGTGCTCTTGGGGCCATAGTTTACTCTTGGTACTGCCTGGGGGCCTAGTAAGGCTGAGATGGAAGCCCTGTTTCTGGGCCTCTGCACACACAGATCCAGGGTGATAAGGATCCTAAGATGAACCAACTTAGTCTACCAGAGCCACTGCCTGTGTCCCCTGTTGCCAACACCGGGGTACACAGGGTTTGACAGGAGCCAGCAGTCACGGTTGGCCCTCTGCCTGCCCCTCATCAGGGGCCCAGCTGGTGCTATTCTGGTCCTGTGTTAGGACCCCAGATGTACCCCCAGGAAGGGAGTGGTTCCTGAGGAACTTGGTATCTCCCTTCAGTGAGAACGGAATCCCTGACAGGTCAGATCTAAATATGGTGGCCACTCAAAACAGGAACTGTGGGGGCTGGGCGCGGTGGCTCAAGCCTGTAATCCCAGCACTTTGGGAGGCCGAGGCGGGTGGATCACGAGGTCAAGAGATCGAGACCATCCTGG